TCTGGTAGGAGGGCACTTTAGGAGTCTGTGAGCGGGGCGCGGGGAATGACACATAGCCCGAGTGACTAACCGACTACGTCGCGTACGTGACTAGACCGACCGGACAGTCTGCTAGTCACGACACGCCGCAGTAGTGATGTGCTGTAGGTCAACGAGATTTTTGATTAAAGCGGACGAAGAGCACCAAAGGAGCGCAGAGAGGTACGAAGGGACCACCCTCCCTGATCAGGCGTCCCTTTGCTGCGTTCACTCCCTGCCGTTCCTAAGTTAAATTGGCTTCACTGTACGGTCGATTACTACAAAGATTAGGACAGGGGGGTTCACAGGGCAGCGTCGTCACTCCTCTACTTCTGCTCCATGTAACAGACGGAGGCTGAGGAGGAGAAGGAGGACTACCAAGACTCACGACGAAGGCGAGGAGAGAGGGAGAGAGGAGGAGGGGGGTGGCGGAGGCTAGTGAGGGTGGCGGGCGGTCGGCAGAGTCCATTGAGGGTTTTAGGAGAAATACAACAAGCTCTTTTGAGATGTTGACCACACAGAACCCGGGACAATGATTATTAGGACGAAAATAAAGACACAAAAATCGGAAGAATTCGTCGCACCGAACACGCCAGGAAATTAACGAAATCCTAAAGCATACTAAATAAGGTGTTTTATACTATTGTATGTACCTTTATTTTAGTGTGGGGCGGAGCCAAATGTCAGGTGAGTTTAGATGTGCCCAATAACGCATTGTATGTGTACGTATTGTCAATGTGGGAAGGAAGATTCAGAGCCGTTTAATATGTATTTATGTCTGTAGTAATTGCATAGCATAAGATTTACGCAAACAGTTCGTGATTCCTTCCTCTCATCAGATTTACATAAATATTTTCCCGAAGAAGGGTCTGTATCAGTGTTTCTGATATTTCTGTTTTTTTCTTTTAAAACTGTAAAAAAAATGAAGGAAGGATTATAACACTTGGGCGAGATAGATTTTAAGTCAGACTTCAGCGTGCCGAGTAAAGTTTTATTTGCACCTAAGACGCATTTTTTGCTCGAAAAAGCCCCAAGCACCACAAAAACAAACTAAAATTAATGTTGTTTACAGTAAAAAACCGAAAAGTCAAGTCTATACCTTGAAAATAAAGGTTTTTAGCGTGCTAATTTATGTGCAAACTTCGAACATTTCCCTTCTACTGTCGAGAGTCTGAACCGGTGAGATGGACAAGGCGTCGCGGCGGTGTGGGGAGGAGCCGACTTTTATAATACTTCATCGCATCTCACTTAAGTTGTCTATGTCTGCCCGTCCAAGTGAACATGTCAAACAAACAGTCCAAGACTAAAGTTTATTTGTTTAAGACAACCGACGATTATCGCTCCTCGATCCTCCGGCACAAATAAGGCCACTGGGACGGTACTCAAGATGGCGCAGACAAATCAACTTCCGGTGATACCGAGGAGCGAGGAAATGAAAAATAAGAGAAGTGAGACGCACCCTCTATCAAAAAGAGCGATAGATTTTATAGGGAAACTTCACCTAGTATATGATCATTGAAATATGGAATAATCAGCCCTTGAATTCTTGAAGAAAACCATTTTTTGCATGACTTTGCAGTGTTTATAGTGTCCGAAAAATCATACAAATCTGAAAGGATTTAAGTGTATCCCGGCTGCGTTTAAAAAAACGGCAAAAAAAGTAACAGAAATTAAGAGGAAAATGTAAAAAATACCCTAAAAAGATATATCTCAGAATGTCCCTTAAATCCATCGACAAGGGGCCACATTTTCCCGCAAGATTCATTTAAAAAAAGATACGAATTAAAAAAAGGTATTTACTGGATTAGCAAATATTCTAATAGTCTTATTGAAGTACCTTACCTTTATTTTATTACATGTATTACTTTATGCAATAATTATAGCTTTTTTAAGTTATTGGGAATTATCTAAAAATATTCCCAATATTTTTGTTCAGTAAAAAGTTTCCCTTTAAATATATATTTTTAATTCCCACACTGATCAAACATCTCTTAAAAACTCACTTTAATATCATTTTGCTGTTAAACGCAGCCCCAATTGATCTAAAGATGTCTTTGTTCACCGCGAGAAAAACTGAGAAATCTGCAGGAATTAAATTTAACACGGGGCGAGTAAATTATAAACAAGTTATTATTTTTGTGGTGAATAATAATTTGATAATAAATTTTATAATCATATCATTCAGCCATCATGTCTAACCTGATATCGTCTTGTTGGAGTCCATGTTGGAGACCCTCTGGATGGCCGAGGCGGGGCGGCTGGACCCGGATCCCCTGAGCAGGTGATCAGCTGTGGACACATAACAATAAATACAAAATACATTAAGAGGAAGAAGTGTATTTAAAAATAGACCCACTGTATTACAATATATAACATAAAAGAATGTGTAAAATATGAATAATACAATATAAATAGAAGTGTATTAATATGATGATAGAAAGGCTGAAAAGAGTATTTTTAAAGAATAATATACGGTGTAATAAATGTATAATATTGTAATAAACATGGTAGTACAATGTGGACATTTTATTTTAAATTCTTATGTTTTTATAAATATTTGTATTGCATTTTATTTGAAATTTTACTTATTTATTGATTTAATTTTTTTTTGGCACAATCTTATTTTTACTTCTAATTTTGACATACATGTAATCTTTTAAGTGCACAGTCATACTCAACATGCTGATTTGTATAAACATATATTTAATCTATGGTATCTTTTTATTGCAGTCTTATTTTCAACTCTCTTGAATTCCCCCCAAAACAGAAATGTAATACTGTGATTGTGCGTAATAATGCCACAGTGGTGTGAGCGCTGCAGAGTGGTTTAACTAATGAATCATATTTAGTGTTTCTATAAGAGACTTCCTCTGAAAGGAGATAACCAGGTCAGTAAAGAAACACATTCCAGTGACGCTGAGCTCGGGGGAATACTGACGAAGGAGAGGCAAAATAAACCAATAAACGACGGAAAACTAAGAGGAACATCGGAGGCTATGGCCAAGTCTGCACGTTCACATTAAACACTTGAACTCGTCACTGTGCAGATGAACTGTGGGAAGAACTACAGCGGAGAATGGTGGATCGTTGCTCCCCTCTTATCATCCACTCGGGTGTTTTGATAAACTGACACAGGAAACCTGCTCACGCCATCCTCCGGGGAAAACTAAATATTTCTCATGAGGAGATGGGGGGTCCGATCCTGATCATTGTTAGTTTACTGAGGTGAAGCAGAGGAGTGGCTGATATGAAATCCTCTCAAACCAGTTTTAAAAGAAAGCTTTCCTTTTTGAAAATCATACATTTCATCAATTATCATCAGAGGTGGAAGTAGAGGAGTACAAATACTTCGCTACTGTACTTAAGTACATTGTTCTGGTATCAGTACTTTACTCCACTACTTATTTTTCTGACTGTGACGGAGCAGATCACAGAGTGACTGACTCCGCCGCTGACAGCCGACACACCAAACCAAACATTTCCTGCTCTCTTCCGTGAAATGAACCACGCAATTTATGTTGCGTTTGTTAATTATGGGGAATGATTATGTTAAGAGGTAGTTAACCTGTTTATGTTTGGGTCGGATTTTTATATTAACACTGAGTTTAATTGTGTCACCTGTTGACGGTAAGCCTGTGGGAGGGGCT